ACATCTGGCCACCAGGGCTCATGGCAGATCCAGCATCCTCTTATGCGTATCAGAGACACCCTCCGCTCGATCCAGTACCAGGTCTCACACATATTCCGGGAGGGGAATCGGTCTGCTGACTTTCTTGCTAGCACGGGGGCATTTATACCCCAGAGAAGTACCCTTCTTCCTGAGGACATTCCCCTCCAGCTTAGGACGCTCATTCGGATGGACCAGTTAGAGTATCCATCCTTCAGATTCGGTCGACCGCCACCATCTGCCCCGGACTAGATTGGACATTTTGGACTCCATGCCAGGTCGCTTTGACCAGGACGACCTTTTATGAGGATTTCATGTTAGATCCACAGTGGATATTTTTGCGATCTTTGTATTTTTATTTTTTATTTTATTTTATTTCATTTTCTCTTTTTTTGATGTTGATCTATGTATTTCCGACTTGGATGTATAACATTGACTTTTTAGCCCTAGCCGAGCCATTATATCCACAGTTCGAGGGTGTAGCCTTAACCCTCCATCCCAATATGAGATGTTTATTAAAAAAAAAAAAACAACACTTTTTAAAAAATGTAATAAAATCATGTCACTTTTTAAAGAGTGTCACCTTGTTAACCAATATTGGGACATTTATTTAAAAGTGTTATTAAATAATGACATTTTATACAAAAGTGTCGTCATGTTTAGTTATATAGCAACACATTTTGCAAAATGTACTAAAATAATGTCACATTTTTAAAAAATGTAACAATTTTTAATAATATGACAACATTTACTCGAAAGTGTAATTATGTTATGTCACTTATACAATTGTGTCGCCATTTTTAAGCATATAACAACACTTAAAAAAGTGTAATTATTTAGTTAGTGACATTATTAAACAAGTATCGTGTTATTTGACAACATGGTGACATTATTAAAAAAATGTTGTTAAATTATGATGCTTATACAAAAATGTTGTTCTTTTTATCTATATGGCTACACTTTTCTAAAATACGTAGTTACATATTATCGTTTTCAATATGTGTCGCCTTATTTATCAACATATTAGTGGTAAAGTGCTCGACAGCTCCAACTCGATCTTGCCTCAACCTAGCCTCATGTCGCCCCGCCCTCTCTTTCTTCATATCCAATTCAGCTGGACTCTCTGCCTCGACCTCCCCTCAGCCTCCGCCTCGACATCGTAGATAGGGATGGCAAAAAGACCCAGACCCAGTCCGGTCTGGACAGGCCCGAAGCATTTGGGGAAAGCCAAACCCGACCTGTTTCTAGAATGGGTGGACCAAGGCCGACCCATTAGTTGAATGGTTAGTTAAATGGACTAGGTTAGGATATAATCCCGGCCTGGCTTGCCCTGCCCCGCCCCTCAAATTTATTTATACCGTATATTGTTATAAATTATGATGATATATCTGCTGTTGTCGAACTGTCATATAAAGTAATCGATCGGAAAAATAAAATAACATACTTATAATAGACATGATTATTAAATATGAAAATAAAATAATGCTAATGCAATTGAAAATTCATAAATTTTTTAACTTCAAAATAATATATATACAATTCTTTTCAATTATGTGTTGGTTATAATATTTGCCGCAATTTTATGATTTTAGCATAAATTATTTGGAATCGAGATATCGTAATCAGTAGGGGAGGATAAAGAAAAAAGTATTATGTGACTTTATTTATTGATAATATTTGAATATGTTAAATTTTTATTATTTTGATTATAATAAAAAATTCTAAAATTACACATATTTTATAAAGAATGAATTAACATACAAATCATATATTAAATTATTATATCTATTAATATATAATAAGGATTAACATAATTCACATTTAGAAACTCTTTTTCCACCAAATTCATTAATTACATGCTAAATTTAGAATATTAGGACAATTTTGGATAAGAAATTAATGAGCATCTAGAATTTGGTTATAAATTTATACAATCTGATTTTTATTCATTTTTCAAAATTTGGTTAGATATTGGTCTATGAAATAAAATGGTACATCCAGAATTTTATGAATAAACTGATATAATCTCAATTTGCTAATATGTAAGCAAAATCTATGGAATAATATAATTTCAGCATGGACATGGCAGTGCATCTCCATTGTTTTCCGTTTGACCTCTTACACCTAAAAGGTATTTATCCTTCCACAAATTAAAATATATATATATATATATATATTATTTATTTATTTTATGTTTTAGAATTTTTAATACAATGATTAATTAGAATCAAACATTCTACAAATTTATTAAAAAAATTACCATATAATCATTCGTATGCTTATAACTACAAATGGTTATTTTACTCTTTTCCTAATAAATTACCTTAAATAATATTTCCATATCAATATTATTTTACATTATCTATATCTATATATATAAAATAACAATGTAAATCAAATATAATAAGCATTTCTTGTCATTATGCATTAATTACATTCTAATTGTAGAAATTTTACACAGTTCCTTAAAACAAACCTCGAAGCATTAATTGTAATCGGTTTTAACTTCCCTCAACAACCAGATTTATTGTTTTAAACAATATTCCATAATATTCTATTAAATACTAAATGCGGTTGTTTAGAATCATTTCTATTTAAAAGCAATGTTATTATGGAATCAAATATTATGAAGTATCATTTTAAAATCAGTATAATTATCGAATCAAATAATTTAACCACGATTCGATATTATTAATTCAATCTATATATCTTTTTAGACTTTTCAATTCATTTAATATAACATAAATTGCCGTAAAAATGAGAGTAGAACTTTACATAATCATGGTATCAATATTAATAATATAAATGATAAATAAAATATTTAATTATTGGGGAACAGATGAAAAGTTCGCCCGAAAATTCTATTCCTGGCTTGTACACTTTATTATATACATATAAAAAGATTGCATATTTAAATTTTAAATTTTTATTTTTTTTTCAAATATAGTTATACAATATATGCAACTTGACTACAAGTAAAAATATAGTTAGTTTTTTGAGCTACAACTTAACTACAATATATTCGCCCGGTATCATTATTTTTTTTATCAATTTAGCTACGAAATATTTTTTATTTCAAAATAGTGATTTAATGTCATCCGATTCATTTAGTTAGTTTTTTGAGCTACAAATGATAAAATATCGTTGTTGTTATTTTTTTAAACGTAATTATTTTTGTAAATATCGTTTCACAAAAGATACAATAAAAAATCGAAATCTCTGTTAAAACATAACAAAAACAAAATTTTAATATTGGAATGAATTTGTAGTAAAAAAACGAGAATGATTGAAAAAAAAATATACTTAAAATTCACACTTCAAGGTAACAACTTTTCTTATATTTTATATAAAATTAAACTTCACCAGATAAATCATATCTTTAGTATTTATCACAATAATACATGTTTACACTATAATTTTAATTTGTGGTGCTAACATAACGATAATCAACAAAAATAAATAAATAAATAAATAAAGTAAGAAGGTATCTATGCAATTTTCAATTACCAAGTGGAGAGCAATCTTTGTAAATATCGGTCTATGGTTGTCAAGTGCAATGTAATTTTGCATGGAAAAATGACGATGTTTTTAATAATGTATGACTTTTTCATGACGAACATTTTACAAGTACCTAATAAATACTCTATGTATTATAACTTATTGATTAATAATTTAATTATAAATTTTACCAAAATAAATACAGCCCGTGCATCGCACGGGGTTACGTACTAGTATCATAAAACAAAAGATAAAAAATCAATAATAATAATCAAAACTATTTTTATACTAATTAATATTTATTAATTGCTTTAATACATATAATTCATTAATTTGTAAGTATTGTAATTTGAGGAAAAAATTAAAATTTGTTTTCTACGTAACTTTGCACAGAGAAACGGTGACAATCAATCCTTATTCAGAATCCCCAAACCCAAGACCCTCAACCCTAATCCACCGCCACCGTTGCTGATACCCAACTAGCGCCGCCTCAGTCCGACAACGCCACCGTCGACGTCGTTGAGAAGCTGTCCAACATCTTCTTCAGCAACTGGGCCCTGAGCGAGCACACCCGCGACGCCATCAGGAACCGCCTTATGGAGACCCTCTCCTCCCCCTCCATCTTGTCTGAGCGCTACGACACCGTCACCGAGCCCAAGATATATGAACTTTTCCGGGCCCCCATCGGCGGGGTTCAAATCGATCACTGGGGTTCGAGAAACTATCAAGTTGCTTAGGTCAAAGGTAGGTATTTAGTCATTCTCTGAATTTCTACGTTTATAGTTTCATATTCACATTTGCAATGCGTTTCTCATTTTGCCATAAATTTAAAATAGCAAGTGTAAGAGAATAGAGCTAACAAGATCCTTTTTTTTTTTTCAAGAATTACTTTTGGGAAACAGTAATTGTTATACATGCTTGCTTACTTGTGTAGGGGAAAATATTAGTTTTTGGTACCAACAACTCAACAAAATCAAGAAATCAGCATTGAAAAACTTTGAAACACTAGAAGTTAGTAAGGTGGGTTTATTTAATTGTTATCTACTGTCAGTCTGTCTTCCAGTGGACAAAAAATTGGTCTTATTTAAGCAGCCCAGGTACTTAGTTTCATCTTTGTTTTGCTCTGTCTTTTTCCTTATATTTTGTCAGATCCTGCTCCTTTTGTGCGTGTGCTGTTGATGAGTTCACATTACCGACCTCGGAGGTTTGGCTCATGGGATATTATGTTTCTCTATCCTCTTGAAAAGAAATTTTCAATTTTTATTATTTTTTATTATTATTATTATTATTTTTTTTGATAATGCAGGAGCTCGAAGAAGAGGCGAATAGGGCCCCTAATCTTCCCAACCTTCAAAGAAAGATAAAAGAGAGTATGTTTGGTTTGATATATATTTTTTTGTTAGTTTGAATAGTCTTTGATTTATATCGAGCTTTTGTTATTATTTTTGTTCTTTCAAACTTTAATGCTTTGAGGCGAGAAGGAGCGGCACACAAGGATTATGTCGATCAGCTTAAAAAGAGATTTAGGTTGATACTATGGATACAATGAGTTTCTGATTGAAGGTTTCATTGAGGTAGTTTTACTTGATCTGGATATTGCGCCACTTTTGTGATCTTGATTTGAAGTGTTATTTAGTTATTGATTTTGTTTTCTCCATCTTTGTTTGGTGTTTCGAGTCGTTGAACTTATGGAACTTATTGAAGATTTTGAGAAACCAAGGCTTATATGTCTTGGCATAAATACTAGAAGGTACAATTTATTCTCGTTAAAAAAAAAACTTATTGCCGTGAGCTTTAGCTAAAGATCTTTTAGTATTGAATTGGGTTTAACATGTGTTGCTATCTTTTATTTTCTTTTGTTGGGGGTTAACGTGATTATTCATGGCTAGATGATAATTTTGATGCCTACTCATATAGGATTTTTTTGGTTCCAGGCTTGTGTTCAACTATAATAGGAAAGCTATTTTGGGGAGGCATGACGTCCAGTACTCATACACAACCGGTGAGTTCTCTATTAAAAATTCTGACTTTTTATTGCTTTTCAGTATTTATTAAGGCATAAACTTAGTTTGTAGGCTTTGTTTTATGTTTGAGGGCTCTACATAGAATGCAATTGTTGTGTATCATGTAGATGTTGATACGATATGAATGTCATTCTTGTAGTGGAATACTCATATGTATGTTTTTGCTAAACATGAAATTTTGCTCTTGTACAACTATTTTGCTTATCCTGCTCATGTCAAGTTGTTCAATCTCAAGTTTTGTAAAGTTACCTAATTTTCTTGACAACCAATTTACTTTAACAGAAAACAAACGTTGAAAGACATGTGAATGTTGTACGACCTTCAGAACATGTCCAGCTCGAACAATGAAGGGCATCATCAATTGCTTTTGTAAGTCACTTACTACTTGAACACACGTCTTGAAGACGTCTTCACGGAGCAAGAAATGAGAAGCCTATTGGTGTGTATTTGGATTGCTAAAATATTATTTAGTTTTTATTTTTGAATATTTGTATTTTAAATTATAAGACTTGGTGTTTGTGAGATTGCTAGAATATTATTATATGAAGGTATTTTAATTTTTGTTTCAATTTATATTCTTCAAATGTATGGTTTATCGGATAAATGAAGGAAGACAAATTTGGGATCACGCAAGGCATGGCTGGTCTGCTGGTTCGCTGGCCTCGAACGGGATCAGTTGCAGGCCCGGCCTGTTGGACTTGTAGCTGGTCACAGGTCCCAGGATAGAACGGGTCCATGGGCAGGTGTGCGGGCTAGGTTCGGGTCGTAACTACTCGGCCCAACCTGGCCCATTGCCATCCTTAATGAAATCGTATTGGCATCCTTAATGAAATCGTTACAAAATAATGTTACTAAATACATAATCATGACGCTATAAAAAGTGTTGCACAATGAAATTTATCAACGCATAAATTTTGTGTCAGCAAAATTTGTTATAACGACGCATGTAAAGTGTTGCCAAAATTTATAATGGTGACACACTAAAAAAAGCATTGCATGATTGTTGTAGATGTAAACGACTTGTGTCACAAATTCTACAAAAGTGACACATTTAGAAAAGCGTCACAAATGAAAACTTACCTACGCTTAGGTCTTGTGTCGCAAATAATTTCGTGACATCAAATTTAGCAACGCAACTCGCGACACTTTTAATAGTGTAGGTAAATTTTGTGTGACACTAATAAACGTCACTAAACAAAAAAATAAGCGTCACTAAACGCCTTTTTTCTTGTAGTGAAGGATTTTAGACCTTTTGTTATAATAAGATGTTGAATTTCAATCAGTTTTTTTAAAAATGTGATAAACATGTAAAATAATCTAATTTGTATTGTGTACGAGCCTCAAATAAATGAAAAGAGTATTTGCTATGGACGGTTTTGATATGCATGCATTTTTAAGCAGGTTGTGGGGGAGTCTCGTGGTTAGATAATTGTTTTTCCACCCGAACCGACCCAACGGGTCGGCCCGGGACCCGGCCAACCGTAGTTGGAACTGATTCGGTTAGGCTATTTAGATCGGGTAACAATGAACTCGGTCAAACTAGGTCAAAACCCGGTCTTGACCCGGTCGACCGGGGCCATTGACCCTGTTGGGTTGACTCGGTTTTTTTTTTTATATTTTTGTATTTTTTAAAATATTTTTATATATAAAAATCATGGTTTCTAAACCCGGTCCATAAAATCGACTCGGGCAGGTCTCCGGGTCACCGGTTCAGCCACCGGGTCACCGGGTCAATTGTCGAACCGGATAATTAAATTTAAAATTTTTTAAATTATTGTTTTTAACATATAAATATACATAAAAGTAACAAAAATAAATGTTTTGCATATAGAATTTGTACATCAAAGTGTTAAAAGAATTATATCTCACAATAAATATTTACTATATCAATATATTTACATAGTTTTTATTTTTATATTAAAAAATATTTTAAAAAATAAAAAATATAAGGACCGAGTTAACCGGGTTGGGCCGGGTCAATGGCATGGGTCAACCGGGTCAATGCCGAGTTTTGACCGAGTTTGACCGGGTTCATTGTTATCCGATCTAAATAGACTACCTGGACCGGTTTCGGCTCCGAGTCGGTCCAGGTTGAAAAACAATGATAACACATTCTTTATACACTTTGATGTGCATATCCTATATGCAAAATATTTAATTTTGTTATTTTTATGTATATTTATATGTTAAAAATACTATATATATATAATTTAAAAAAAGGGTTAATTGCTAAATAAACCTTAACCTTTTTGCGTTTGACAATTTTATCCCAAACTTTGGGTAACTGCAATATAATCTCTACCTCAATTTACTTATTGCAAGTCAAACTTAAAACTGGTTGGACCTTAAAAAAACTGGTCGATTTGAAGGCGGTTCGAATAGATCGGAGCTTATATTGACCGGTTCACTCCAGATCTAGGAGGAGACTCATCACCCGTAGCTTACATTGACGATGAATTTTTGGCTTTGTGCGTGGATATACATTAAATACGTGGAAATTGTCAACTTATTACGTGGATGACATAAAAACTTGTGTCAATGGAAGACTTGGACACAAAATCAATCCATAAATACCTAAAATCAATCACTCTGCACCCAAATTTGCAATAAGTAAATTGAGGCCGAGATTATATTGCATTTACCCAAAGATCGGGATAAAATTGCCAAACGCAAAAGGGTTAAGGTTTATTTAGCAATTAGGTCTTAAAAAAATTTAATTTAACTATTCGGTTCAACAATTTATCCGGTGACAAGAGACCTGCCCGGGTCAATTTTCAGGCCGAATTTAAAAACTACGGGTTAGATTATTGTTTCGTAAAAATATGTAATTTATATGTAACTTGTTACATTTCCATAAAGTTTCAACATTGATAGACAAATATGCTTTGAATATGCAATATAACATTTTGGTATTTTGCTACAAAAAGTACTTAACAACGAGTAACATCAATTACTACTTCATAACGTGTGATATCCCGACTTTTATCAGTATAATAATATTCAGTTCCGATATTATTTTTCGGAGTTAATTAATTTCAGTTATTCCAGTCAGAATTACCGGAACTATTTTCGACGTACCGTTACGCTCGGAATAATTTTGGTAAATTAGCATTATGTTTAATTAGTTAATTAAACATAATTAAGTGATTAATTTAACTTAATCACGAGTTTAGCCTTGGGTTCGGATTTATTTTCCAAGCCCTAGTTCATTGCCGTGCTCGTTGCTAAGTTCATGTGTTGTGGCCGTGTGTATAAGTGTGGTACATTTCGGCCCGAGCCTATAGCCGTGCATGTGCTCGTGCGCGAGTGCCGTGCATGTGTCCACGCGAAAATCCGCCCAACACTCGTCATGAAGACCGTGCGCGCGCGTAGTCCGAGGTGCGTGTCCGCAAGTGCCGTGCAACCTCTAGCCGGCGGAGTGTCCAAGACCGCGCGCCATCCCGTGTATGCATGGGCGGAGTAACCAAGGAGCCTTGTCCTAAATGTCGTGCCCCATGTTCTCCTTGTCTTGTTGCCGGCGGAGTATCCCAAGCTCGCGTGGAGGACCGTGCGCCCCCTTTTGTTCTTTTGTCCGTGGGAATTTGTGTAGGACATTTTGTCCTCTAGGGCCGTGCGCCTTGTCCTTTAGTCATGCATTCTTGACCGAGCATGGCCACTTCACGTGAGAATGGGACGTGTCCTTCCCTCAATTCCTCCGCCCTATGTTCGGCCTTAATATAAGTGTGAGGCTTGGGGAGTTAGCTCCGTTTTTCTCCTCCTCCATTTGCTTTGCCGAGAGTGTAGAGAGTGCCGAAAGTTAGTGAGTTTTTGTGTGAGTTATTCGGGAGCAAGTGCCGAGTGTTGTACGAGAGCACGTCTGAGCCACCGAGCACCGCACGGAAGGCTGAGAGCACGCGCACATCGCACAGTACACACGCAACGCACGCGGAATTCTTCACGGCCGAGTGTTGAGTAGCTTAGCCTCCGAAGTTGTAAGAGGTAAGTAACCGAGAACATCATGTTCATTTGAGATTAAATGTAAAAATGTTCATGCATGCGTGATTTATGCGAGCCGTACCCATGCCGTGAGTTCATGATACATGCTAAATAAATTCACGAATCATGTCATTATGTTCAAGATATTAACCGAGTAACCCTAGCACATTTAGCTTTTATTTGCAAAATATGCTTATATGGACTCATGTATTCGGTAGAATCAAGTCATGTTAATAAGATATTCGGCCGAGGGTAACGTGGTTGCGCACGTAGCGCACCACGGGCCGTACGTGCATGTTCTATATATCAAGTTAGAATTCACCGAATAATCCCCGGATACTTAGTCCTATTTTGCAAAATTATGTTTAAATGAACTTATGTATTCGGTGGAATTTAGTAGTTTTAACGGGGTTTTGGCCAAGAGGGATGTGGTCGCACACGTAGTGCGCACCACGGCCACCCGAGAACTTTTTCATGATTAAGACATTTCCTTCGGCATTTATGTGACATTTAGTTCAGAAAAATCATGTTTTTATTCAGTATATGTTAGTTGCCGAGAGAATATGTGGTTTGGTCGAAACACGGCACAACGCCGTCGGCGTGCATGGCACCCGCCACGACCTAGGTTCAGCCCCTCGAACGAATATTCATGTTTTCAGCAATTATGTGCCTATATGTTCATTTCATGTTATTTTAAGTCATGTTACTCGGAAAATTTTGCCGGACAGTCGGCAAGGGCCGGC